AATTTGTATGGAAACCCCAACCAAGGTACCATTTAAAATTCTGTAATATTCAACTGATTTGTGACGATAAAATTAATATATTATCCGATAAAAAAATGAAATGAATGTTGTCTGTTTTTTCACCCGGTATATCCTAGATATTTATAACCTATATCATTTATAATTTTCACATGGTAAATTTTATTTTAAATTTTTCGGTCTTTATCTCAAGTCAGATCGGACCTTTACATCGTACCTATCATTTTTTATCACCTCACCACGCCACGCCACGAAATTAAGAATGAGCCGGAGAAATTACAGTATTACAGTGACAGCCAGCTGACCGTTATCAATAAATTAAGGTCCATCTTGGCGGCAATCTTCAAAAGAAATTTCAACTAAAATCACAGAATATTTTATATTGCCTGAGCTGTAATTATGCATAAGTCAGTTTCTTAACGTTTTAATTTTCAATGTTATACCAATGACACCTTCATTAAGATGAATTATTTTACTTTGGCCGTAGCTCGGAATACATTTACAATAAAGATTTATAAAATAAATATCCGACATAATATAATAACTTAGGGTTGCCAACCGTCCTCTATTCCAGAGGACAGTCCTCTTTTTGATCTCACTGTCCTCTTTTTTCTCACGTATTGAAAAAGTCCTCTTTTTACATCAAAATCTAAAAAATATTCGTCTGCCGCCACAACAATGCTTTAAAAAATTGTTATAATCTATGTCTTTCGCTACTCCTACTGCTTTGTACAAAAAAGAAAATGAAGAAATATTTATGTACAAGAAATACTTGTGGAAGCGATAAACATGTTTAACGGTTTTATGTTTACTTTAGATTATGGTTTAGAAAAAAAAGTTTTGTTGGAAATGGTTTCTTTTATTTTAACAAATTTTGAATATAAATATTTTTTAGAAAGTAAGAAAGACCATTAATCGCATACCGTTTACATAACTTTTTGGTAAATTCTAGACATTTGGGCGAGATTTCAAAAAATGTTCGCCTGTGCCTTTTTTTACGCTGTCGTCCTCTATTTTTTATTTTGAAAGTTGGCAATCTGGCTAACTTCGTATGGTAGTGATAGAAGTGAGTTTTTTGTTAGTTTTGTTGTACAATGACCGAATAATCTCGAACCATTGAGACCAATCGATTTGACAGTTCTGCTGTTGTCATTTGTTCTCTATATTTTGTTGTCAATTCGATTCAAGTATTTTCTGTATATTTTAAAATCTTTCTGTATTGGAATATGCTATGGAATATTATTAGGTTTGATTTGGTTTGGTTTGGTTTGGTTTGGTAAAATTTATATTGTATAATGTCCTAGTATGTCACAGTGGACATTAATTATTACAAATAAGTTCTATAAGCGTGCAAGACGTGAGCCATATACAAACTAGTTAATTAGCTTAGGTTCGCGGTACTGCAATGTTCTATCTTTACTGATAAGCGAGATAACGGTCTTTGCAATCAAAATGGGCAATACTCTACAGATATACAAGCCCCCTTTATATAATTTTTAAACTTTATTTTTCCCGAAAATTATCTTAATACATACACACTACTACTATTGTACGATTTAAGATTACGAAAGGCAAATTTGTCTTATATTTTCAAAAAAACACTTAAAACAAAAAGAATAAACAAAACTCTGTTCGATTATGATACAAAATACATTGTGTTGTATTTAAAATAGTGGCAAAAAATATAACAATTAATTATGACTCACCCTGTATATATCAAACAAAATTGCAAATTTTGGCAAACCGAATTTTAAAGAAGACGCTATTATTAAGGTGCGTTCAGACTGACTGCGCCGCTCAGCGCCGCGCAAAACATTTTTTTAACATGTACTTTTGAAGCTTAATTATCGATAATTATAAAAATCTACTCAGATCAAATCATGTAAATGAAAATATCTAGGAAAATCTTTGTTTGAGTGGTAGGTAACCTTAATAGTATTTTGAAGAGACATGAATTCTCCATTTAATATCGGAATAATATACTGGGTGTTCTATTTAAAATAAAAGAGTAACATGCTTTTAATGGAGACCAATGTTCAATATTAATTTTGTTTTACCCTGTATAAGTTTTTGGATCAAGCTTTAATTTGATATAAAGTACAATAGTTAATTTAACTACATATTAAGTTATACCGGATAAATTCCAATTTAGGTTGTAATATAAAAATTGTTCTTTATTTCTAGAAAATGTTAAATATGTCAAAAACCTTACATTTTTGTTATATACTTCTCTTATAAAACTTACCTTTATTTTTCTCCCAGAATCCGAAAATCAATTAATATATAGAGTGTTACATTACAAAAAACACAACTTTGATATGTAACTTTTTTTGGGGACACCCTGTAGAACTCTCTATATTTTTAAAAAGTGCTCTGAATTAACCTACATATATGCTCACAAAATTTCTTTTCAATACAAACTGTCGTTCTCTTTTGATCCTCCGCGGTGTATGAGGGGCGCCACCCTGTATTTGTAATACATAATTTATTTAAGAAAGGCTAAAAATATACCGAATTTTAAAGAAGACGCTATTATTAAGGTGCGTTCAGACTGACGCGTAAAACATTTTTTTAACATGTACTTTTGAAGTGTATTTTTTTAGCGCGCACAAAAATATACGTTGAAAAAATGATTTGCGCGGCGTGGAGCGGCGCAGCCGGTATAAACGCACCTTTACAGTGCTTATAATTTTTAAAATTCTTCAAATTTTGATTTTTAAGAGGGCTTTCAATAAGCAGCAGTTTAAAAACGGATATACATATTCAAAAACCACTAGGTATAGTATACAGGGTGGTCCGAACTGTATTCCGGAAACTTCAGAAGCATATTCTGCAGATAAAAATAAATAAAAAAGTTCGTATAAATACATGTCTTAAAATGCTTAGTTTCGGAGATACAGGGTGTAGAAGTTTCATTTTTATTTCGATTTTTTCCAAATAATTTAAGAAGTAACATCAATATTTGGATGAAAATTGGTGCCTGGAAGTTTTTTGACATGAGAAATTTGATTTTGATGTCAATATGACCCCTACTTGTAGTGGGCGCCATTCTACATATGCTATAATTGGTTTGAAGAGTAGTAACTTTTCGTCCATACATTTTCTATCCAAATGTATTTACTCATATCTTAGGATTATGTAAAGAAGCCAAAATGCAATAATATACAGGGTGTTTGATCAATTAAAAAAATCATCCCGATACACTCACACTTTATTGAGCGACCCTATAGGGTTAAAATATTTTCCTAAACCTATAATAGATCGTAGTAGGTACATGCTTTAAGTCTGCACTTAAACAAAATTCCCAATTTTTTTATTCTAGAAACTACAGATGCCCGACGCACTATTGCCGGACACTGTAGAGCTTTTTTGGAAGCCTGGGTCCTGGGTTACTCTGTATCTAGATTTGAGTCCCTCTGCAAATCTACATCTACATATATAAAATGCTATCTACATACCTAAAATACATACTAAAATGCTAATGTTTATCTGTGTCGTCTGTACTGAAGTAACGACTTACTCTAGAAAGTTGCTTTTTTTACTAAAAAATAGCTAATTGGCTCTTCTAAAAACTGTCATCGCCGGATTTTTTGTTTTTCATTTAATTAAACAAAAAATAAAAAGTATTTTTTTTTCCTGATGTCGTGGCGGATGCGCCAGGCTTCAACTAGTCTACATATATAAAATGCTAATGTTTATCTGTGTCGTCTCTACTGAAGTAACGACTTGCTCTAGAAAGTTGCTTTTTTTACTAAAAGATAGCTAATTGGCTCTTCTAAAAACTGTCGTCGCCGGATTTTTTGTTTTTCATTTCATTAAAAAAAATAAATGAAAAGTATTTTTTTTTGATGTCGTGGCGGATGCGCCAGGCTTCAACTATAGTCTACATATATAAAATGCTAATGTTTATCTGTGTCGTCTCTACTGAAGTAACGACTTGCTCTAGAAAGTTGCTTTTTTTACTAAAAGATAGCTAATTGGCTCTTCTAAAATCTGTCGTCGCCGGAATTTTTGTTTTTCATTTAATTAAAAAAAAGTATTTTTTTCCTGATGTCGATGTTGTGGCGGATGCGCCAGGCTTCAACTAGTAATATACATATAAAATGCTAATGTTTATCTGTGTCGTCTCTACTGAAGTAACGACTTGCTCTAGAAAGTTATTTTTTTTAATAAAATATAGCTAATTGGCTCTTCTAAAAAGTGTCGTCGCCGGATTTTTTGTTTTTCGTTTAATTAAGAAAAAATAAAAAGTATTTTTTTCCTGATGTCGTGGCGGATGCGCCAGGCTTCAACTAGTATATATAAAGAATTAGGTTCGACAAAGAAGGAGATTTAAACAGATCAATATTCAACATTTTCATAGTTTAGAATGAACTTGAAATAAGTAGAAAGTTTAATCTATATAACAATTACCACAATAAAGAAAATTTTAACTAAAAGTAGTTAACTCGGTATTGTTATGGCATTTATAGAATTTTATTAGAGCATAAAAAAATTACAGCATTCCATTAGAAATCAAATATATTTAATATAGTCACTCTGTATATCTAAAAAATATTTTTAAAATCTGTGCTACTATTATTGCATATTTTACAAGAAGGAGATGGAGTTGGAAGAATAACTTGTTCTTAAGACATCAACTACCCTTTTATAATTTTTATTTCATATTCATATTAGTTTTTTAACGCGGCTTTTTCTGTCCTCCATCTGTCCTCTATTCTGCCATCTATGTACTTATATCAAAACTATGAATTAAAATAATATATAGATTTCTGTAATCTACTGGGTAGAAACCTGTAAGATTGAAAAACTAAGTTTAGTGTCATCAAAAACAGATGGCAGCTTACTTCATAAAAGAAAACTGTTAGGCGTAGTTGATTACTTTATAGATTCTCCGTTAGATGTACGATCATCCATCTTTCTGTGTGACATTGGATCCTGAAATTCTGACATTTGTTTTCTTTCAGTAAGTTTTGGAACCGTGTATGGTTTGATGCGAAAATCGAAAGCTCTCTGTTGACAGACGTGTAAAAGTAAAATATTTTTCAGGATAAGGAAAGTGAAAAACCATTGTGCGAAAATGAACAGAAATTAGATAATTGCAGCGCCTAATTTTTTCGTCAAGTTTTCAGTGACAATTATTTACGTTTATTTGTGACGAACTTTCGTGGGAAATTCTCATTTTCCGGGAGATATGTGATTTTGTGTAGTGGTAGAAGAAAGGTTTGGTCTCCTGTGATATTCTTTGGATCGTCGTTGGAATTCCGATCATCTCAGATAAATGCCAGCCTGTTAATCTATAATTAGAGGTACGATCGAGTCTGCCTGCAATTTGCTCTATTTTCCTTTTAAACACGCCTCGTCAGTATGCAAATTAATTTAACCATAAAATAAAATATACGTTTAATTTTTAATGGTCTAAAATTATAATTAATAACATATATAGGTATCTATTAACTTAAGAAAAATGAAATAAGATGCGTAAGCTTAAGAAACCTGAAAAAATCAATGATACTAGTTGAAAGGGTTATTGGGGTAAAAACAAAGTGATAATTCTTAACATTTTAGTTTGTTTGATGCTTGATAACATTTTCAATTTCAATGCACCTACTCTCAGAATAAACTGCTAAAGTAGTTCACCAAGTGGATATAATGCGTTTGTATGTTGGTTTATTTCTGGAATACTTGAAGTTTCTTTCTGTTGCCAAAAATGTGAAACGCAAAGGGCAACGACTTCTTGCACTTTTCTAGTTCATTTTTAGAAATTGTAGGTATATTACTTAAGTCTTAAGTAGGTAGGTACTAGGTACCTATATGTATGTATATGGACTGTGTAAGTTTTAATTGAAAAAGTTACAATTGTTAACTACAAGTATAAATAACCAAAAACCAAACCAAGGTATAGTATTTCCGAAGTCAATTGGACTGGTTTGATTTGAGGCTCTTGATTTCGGCACTGTCATTGTTGGGCATCGTCTGGACAACTGGAGAATGCTGGAAGTGGTAAAAGATTTTATTCAAAACTTGCGGTTTCTATCCAGAATGAGTGATCACTTCAATACATCATTTTCTATTTTAATTTTATTAGTCAGCAGAACAAAAAATAAAGTTCTATGTAATTACTTAGGTATTATTATATTTTATTGATTATATATTATACCGAATGATAAAAAAACGGCGTCCAGTTAGCGTGGAAATGATGATCGGAGACATTCCCCAAGAATAAAATGCCACAATTTTTCGTAATTTTTGAAAATAAAATATGTTTTTGAGTTTGGCGAGAAATGTTTAATTCCCAGTTTAATTCTATAAGTACCGTGTGATTGCAAAAAATGGCGTATATTTGGGCTGGAAATGACTATCAATGACATTTTTCCATATAATTTTACATATAAAATGACAGCGATCTTCATTTCATAGCTATCACTGACGCCGTTTTTTTCGATCATACTTATTGTATTTACGAGACTTTCCATCAATGTCTTATTTTCCTGTCGATTTTCTTTTATACTTACCGACTTACCGAGATACTCTATGATCGAAAACAAAAACGGCGTCAGCGATGGCTATGCTATATGAAATGAAGATCGCTGTCATTTTATAAGTATGTAAAATTATATGGAAAATGTCATTGATCATCATTTCCAAGCCAACTGCATGGAAGCCGTTTTAAATGAATGAATGTTTTAAATTCTCCTAATTTCAGGCCACATATAAATTCATTCATTATTTATTTATCTGTAATGAAATTATAACATATATTTGATATTAATTAAACTTTTAGTTACGTAATCAACAAAACTCACCTTCTTAAGTTTTGTTGATGTAAATAACTGTTTATATCGAGGTTTATATATTTATAATTAATTTATTTTTGTTTCCTAAAATATGTTGATTAAAAGAAAATATGTAAAAGTGGGCAACGCTGTGCCGGTCAAGCTTAATCACGTGACTAAAATTTTATTTGATATATGAAATATACAGGGTGAGTCTTAAATAAGTGCAAATATTTTCAGGGGTGGTATATTTCGACCCCAAGAACACGTCTATGAGTTTTTTTCGCAAAAAGAAGATGTTGAAAATCGTGCACTTTCTTTTATATTTCCCTGTATATTTTTCGAAAACTTTTTAGAACTGCCTGTTCACCGCAAATTTTCCCACGGTAAATTTCTTAATCTCTGATATTACCTCGGATATTACCATAGTTACGGTTTTACTCTATGGTTACGGCACTAAAAGGGATGCAAATACAGAAAAAATCCGGTGGCTCTCAAATTTTTTTCAAAAAAACCATTTTTTTTTAATTTTCAAACTTAAATAACTCGGTTATTTTGGAAATAACTCGGTTATTTTGGACTTACCTATCTGAAAAATGGTAAAGAGAAAATATGTTTCTTTTATCGAGATCTACCAGCCCTGAAAATATTTGCACTTATTTAAGACTCACCCTGTATATCATCTTCTTAGACCAGAACTAGTTTCATATGTTCATTTTTTTTGAAATTTGGAAACTTAGCCTTGTGGATTGAATGCAGAACTAATATAAGTCTTGTCAGCTACATTAACCATGTATCGGCTACCCCCGACAAGGCACGGAGGATGAGAAATACTCTGTTCCCCCTACAACATAAAGATCCCCATGTATGGTTTGTCCTCTTTTTTTGAGTTATAACTCAAGAAAAGGAGACACGATAGATCTTTTGGGTCTCGAAGACCCCCCTTCCACTAATTCTACATTCTACTACCCCTACACCTGACGACCCGACAGGACTTAGATTAATTTTGCATTCAATCCACAAGACCATGTTCCACCTGAAAATCGCAATTTCAAAGAAAATGGACATAGACCACTTGTGACTTAAGGGGACGATATGTTAAAGCGAGCGTCAAACATTTAATAAAATATCTTAAAAAAAATTTAAACCTCATTTTAAACCAATCTGTGTTTTAAACCATATCTTATTTTGCAACAGTCTTTAATCATAGTCGAGCTTTAGATGCAATGTTTTACAAAACTCTTAGGTTTTTTGTGGTGCATTTAAATAGCCACTTGACCTAATTGTTGTTATATATGAAGCTTTACAACTTGGAATTTAAGTAGCTATCGTACTAAAAATTAATTAAGTAGCTTTAAATTAAATCGAGTTAAAGTTGACCTGACCTCATAATATACGATCGTTAGATTATTCCGAGTTCCGAGTTTAGTATATATGAAGCATTTTTATTTGCTGTAATTCACACTCTAGGAGAGTGTTTTAGTAGCAATTTTTTTGAAAATCAACTCTACTGTACATTACAATGTTAATATATCTAACATTAGAGTATGTTAAAATTCAGTGGCTGTTTTTACATATTGCTATTATATTTTGCATATTGCTATTACAGCCGGCTGTTTTTACATATTATGAATCAGTCTGAATGAAATGTTTAATCTATATGTAGTTAATACATACTCCTTGTAAAAAAACACGGTCAGTCAGTTTTAAAATTCGGTTTTCGTACGACACCTATTTATGAGCGACATGATGCGAATTGAAATTCCGACTACGAAATCGCTTTGGATGATATTTATTTAATAGGCTTACGGACGCGTATTGTGCTACATTTTCTTTATGTATTTGTACGTCTCAGTTTGGCGTGCCAAATAAATCGGATTTTCTCTCGTTGGCTTTACGTTTGGATCTATAAATAACCGTAAATGGAATTCCCTAATAAATCCTGCATTTTATACTATCTGCCAAATAGGAACTCTAAGATTCAACAGTTGCTCGGTTTAGTACTAATTATCGTAAATAGAACAATCAGTATGTAATTAGAGTTTCATTGTCTCATACAGGTTATGCTAGGGAAAAATATTACATATAACTGTGTGACATAGAAATTGCAACAGTCATGATCGCTCGGGGGAAACGTGAAGGCACCCTGTATGATATTATCCAAAGAGGACTCCGTATCACTGAGAGATGGTGCAGGACTGTCGGGCTGAGTAGCAACTCAGATAAAACCGCCAGTGCCATTCACCAGAAAGCGAAGTCTGAAAAACTTGAAAAGAATCCAACTAGATGGAAAGGACATACTGTCATCAGAGGAAGTTAAATATCTGGGAATAACCCTGGACAGTAAACTCCTGTGGAACAGGCATATTAAGAACACTACCAGCAAAGCCACAAAGGCTCTCATGATCTGCAGAAGACTGGGCGGAAATAGATGGGGCTGCTCCCCTAACATTTTGCGCTGGATGTATACCATGATAGTAAGACTCATGATTACTTATGGAGCAGTTGCCTGGTACACAAAACTAGAGTAACGGACGGCAAGGCTAAACCTGTGCAAAGTCCAGATACTAGCGTTAGAACCTGTCCAATAGCAGCAATGGAGTTCATTCTAGATCTAACACCAATGCACATTGTCATTGGTAGATATGCCAATGCGACAATAATTAGAATGGTCACTAACGGAATCAGTACTGGGAGAATTGTCAGATCAGAGGCTTGGAACACCCTCAAAAAGGAAATACCACTTCTGCAACTCTCAGTGGATGATATGCCAAGAAAGTAAAACTTTGAGAAACATCTCAATGTAGTATTGAGCAATAAAAAGGATTGGAAGAGAGAAACATCTGCCCGGCAGTTAAAAGACCATACCATAATTTGGTATACTGATGCTTCTAAAGCCAATGCGCGAACAGGGATCGGAGTATTTGGGTCGAGAACTAAATACTCCGAACCAATGGGGACCTACCCTAGCATCCTACAGGCAGAAATCTACGCTATCGAAAGATGCGTACAACTTATCTTAGATAGGAACTATCGGAAACAAGAAATAGCCATCTTATCTGATAGTCAAGCAGCGTTAAAAGCGATCAACTCAGTATCAGTCAATTCGAAATTGGTCAAAGAATGCATAGACAGGCTGAATAAATTAGGCAAAGAAAACAAAGTCCTCCTACTCTGGGTGCCTGAACACCTCAGTAGATTGAAACTAAGAAGAAACGACGAATACAGATTCTGTGGGGAAAATGGGGAAACACCAGTACACCTCATCACTGAGTGCGCCGAGACGACAACCATTCGTGCCATGAACTTTGGTACGACTGATATTGGAGATGGAGAATTATAACCCTCTATAAAACCGTCCCAGATACTGGCTTTTGTCAAAGCCCTGGGACTGTATGATGAGTTATAACTCAAGAAAGGGGGACACAATAAATCTGTAAGGTCGCAGTGATTAACCCCCCTCCCACTCATTCTAATTCTAAAAATTCTAATTTAACATTTTTAAGACTTATTGTGATAATCAAAATCAATGG